ATCTGGGGGGGTGTGGGGGGGGGTGGGGCGGAGATGCGGTGCCGTTACGCGAGCGGAAGGCGGGAGCGGCTGGGGCGGGCGGGGGGAGGCCCGCGATCGGGGAGGCGGCCACCTCAGCCCGGTCGCCGCGGTTCCTCGGAGGTCGCCGCGGTTCCTCGGAGGTCGCCGGGGTTCCTCGGAGGTCGCCGTGGTCTTGGTAGGTGGTCTCGGTGCCGGGCTTGCGGGGAAAAGCTGCCCCCCTCGCCCCTGCCCTTCCGTCCCCTGCGGGTCTCCGGGTCTCCGCTGCTGTTGGGCCGGTCTTTGCGCCCGGTGCTTCTTTTAAGGCTTTTTTTAAATAACAAATTGCTTAAGATTTCGGGAAGTTACGGTAGAATTAGGACCGAAGGGTAGCGGCTGTCAGCTCTCCGGCCGGGGGGGTGGGATGGCAGCTGGTGGCTTGAGAGGTGCCCAAGGTCTGCGGGTCTCTTCTCCCAGGCAATTAGTGATCAAACAAGAGGGAATGGCTTCAGGCTACAACAGGGTTGGTTTAAACTGAACATTAGACAAGAGTTTTTCACGGAAAGAGTAGTCAGGCATTGGAATAGGCTGCCCAGGGAGGTGGTTGAGTCACTCTCCTTGGGTGAGTTTAGGAGCCGTTTAGCTGTGTTGGGGGATATGGTGTAGGGGAGAACTTTGTAGAGTAGGGTAGATGTTTGGACTTGATGGTCCCAAAGGTCTTTTCCAACCTAAACGATTCCATGATCCTATGAACAGTCACCTTCCATCTGGAAGGAGGGAGGCCCCGCAGTGAGCTGGGTCCTGCTGCTCTCTCCCTGCAGTGCTGAGCAGCCATGGAGAAGATGCAGCAGGTCGTTGGGCGGGCGAGAGCCGCCTTCAACTCGGGCCGTTGCCGCTCACTGGAGTTCCGGCTGCAGCAGCTGAAGGCCCTGGAGCGGATGGTGCAGGAGAAGGAGAAGGAGATCCTGGCAGCCCTCAAGGCGGATCTGCACAAGGTCTGGGTTGGGGGGTTTTTCCTATGAGCCATGCATGGACGGTGGTCAACCCCGAAGGGACAGTGGGAAGGCCAAGGGCTGCCTTTTCCCCTGCCAGGTGGCTTGAGCTGATGCCTCCCTTGGTCCCGCCTCTCACTGTAGCTTGCCAAGGTTTGCTGCCACCGTTCCTAAGAAGGAGCTAGTTTGAGTCAGGGCAGCAAAAGCAGGTCCTGCCTATCAGGTTTTGGCTTCTGCTGCACACTGAGCCCTATGCATCCAGGCTTGGCCATCTTTTCTCAGGGATCCTTTGGGGCATCACCACCAGTAACTGCCCTGGCAGACACTTTAAGGCAGCAGAATTTACCTTGCTTCCCTGGATGATTTGCCATCCCCTCCCCAAGCTCTCTCTCATTCCAGAGTGAGCACAGTGCATTCAGCCAGGAGATCATGGGCGTGCTGGGGGAGCTAGCCCTGACCATGGACAAGCTGCCATCCTGGGCAGCCCCACGGCCTGTGAAGAAGAACCTACTGACGATGCGGGACGAGGCCTACATCTACCCCGAGCCGCTGGGGGTGGTGCTGATCATCGGGGCCTGGAACTACCCCTTTGTCCTGGTCATGCAGCCTTTGATTGGGGCCATCGCAGCAGGTGGGGACCCACCACAGCCCCTGTCCTTCCTGGGGCCTTGGGCGGATGCTGCAGGAGGCAGGAGAGGAGCGAAGGTGTCAGTGTCCATGCAGCATTTGTGTTGTAGGCAATGCCGTGGTGGTGAAGCCATCAGAGATCAGCGAGAACATGGCTCAGCTGATGGCTGATCTCCTCCCCCAGTACCTTGACCAGGTGAGTGTGGCCCCATGCCTGGCGTAATTGTCTCGAGGAGATATCTGTCTTGCTTTTGAGTGGTACCTGAAATTAGAGTCAGATCAGTTGTCCACTCTCTCCAAAGGAGCTTAAGCAGGATATATAGAAATGGTTGAATTGCTCTTAGAGTGCAGAGACACTTTGACAGCCCTCAGGAGAGCCTGGCAGTTATATGTGCTCTTGGTCTTAGTATGTGAGAGTAGGTCCACAGCCTGACTCAGTCCTGGCCTCAACTTCCATTTCCTTTAGTTCATGTGGCACAGTACGGCAGGTGAAACTTCATTTCAGGGGAAGGAGCAGAACTTGTCTCTGTAACTGCCATCCTTTGTCCAGATCCTAACATAGCTCATAAGTGAGTCTGCCCATGCAGAGCTGTTGCCTTGATAGATTTGCTTTCAACCAAAGTGATTGTAAGGCTCTTGTTTGCCCTGCAGGAGCTGTACCCCGTGGTCACTGGAGGAGTACCCGAGACAACAGAGCTGCTGACCCAGAGGTTTGATCACATCCTCTACACCGGCAACTCCGCAGTGGGCAAAATCGTGATGGCAGCAGCTGCCAAGCACCTGACGCCCGTCACCCTGGAGCTGGGTGGGAAGAGCCCCTGCTACATCGACAAGGACTGTGACCTGGCCATCGCCTGCAGGTCAGGCTGTGGCAAGCTCTCAGTTGGCCATTGTCCCTGGACTGTGGGGTCACTCAGGCATGATTGACTGGGTGGTGGGGTCTGGAAGGGATTGACTGTGGAGAAACCATCTCCCTTTCTCCTGCAGGAGGATAACATGGGGGAAGTACATGAACTGTGGGCAAACCTGCATCGCCCCAGACTACATCCTCTGTGACCCGTCCATCCAGAGCAAAGTGGTGGAGAACATCAAGGCAACTCTGCAGGTGAGTGTGGAGTTCCTCGTGCTGTGGGAGTTGTCCCCGTTGCAGCCCAGGTCTGAGTTCTGTGGCAGCAGCCCTGGAGCTGTGGCTGTTGTGAAGGTGTGTTGAGGGCTTTGGCTGTGCTGTGCTCTTTGGCAGGAATTCTATGGGGAAGACGTGAAGTCATCTCCAGATTACGAAAGGATCATCAACAAGCGTCACTTCAAGAGGATCATGGGCCTGCTGGAAGGGCAGAATATCGCTTACGGAGGACAGACTGATGAGGCCTCCTGCTTCATAGGTGCTTCTGGCAACTGTTGGGGAGGGGAGGTGGTGGTGGTGTGTGCCTTTTGGGGGCTGTGCTTGTGTCTGTGGCTCCCTTGGTGTGTGTTGAATGCAAGCGGTGCCCAGGATGAGGTCCTGTGATGGACCATGTCTTCTGTGCTGCTCACGCTGTCTCTTGCCCTCCTGTTTGCCTCAGCACCGACTATCCTCACCGACGTTTCTCCGGAGTCAAAGGTGATGGAGGAGGAAATCTTTGGGCCAGTGCTCCCCATTCTGCCCGTGAAGAACGTGGATGAAGCCATTGAGTTCATCAACCGTCGTGAGAAGCCCCTTGCCCTCTATGTCTTCTCAAACAACAAGAAGGTGGGTCTGGGCTGTACTCTCCTGCAGAGGGGACTGTTTGCAGTTTGATGCTGAATGTGGCCAGTCCCAGGCACGTGTCCCCACAGGGTCTGTGTTGGTTCCTCTTTGCTTTTGAATCGCAGTGTTTGTCTCTCAGGGGACCACGAGTGTCCCCAGAGCTGCTGTATCCTCGCAGTCTCCTGCTTTGCATTTGCATGACTTTGTGAAATAGAAGGATAAAGGGCTGAATTTCCTCTGCAGTGCCTTGAAGTCTTTCATGATTAATTTAGTTACTTTTAATTTATTAGGAGGCAAGCTCCCAGATTTCCAACTTTCACATCCTTCCTCTCAACTTTTCCACTTTCTCCAAGTTAATGCTGCATGGAGAGGGCTCATTGGAGTTACCAGCCAGAGGAAATTATACGACGGCCTGTTGGCTCGTAGCTCCCCTCGCCATCTGTCTCAGTTACATGGTCTGGTCTCTTCTGGGCCTTTATAATGTTCTGTTTGTTTTTTTTTTTTTTTTTTGTCAGTTAATCAAAAGAGTAATCTCTCAGACCTCCAGTGGGGGTGTTACTGGAAATGATGTCATCATGCATTTCTTGCTCTCAACCTTGCCCTTTGGTGGTGTGGGTAAGTTACTGGAGCTCCGTAAGTGTTGTGACTCGATGCACGGTGTGACCCAGGGAACAACAGCAGTTGTTCTATGTCCAGTTGCCCCTGTGCCTCTTACAGCCAAAGGGTCTCTGTACAACAGATCTCAGTAACAAATTTGGGGAGTACATTAGGAAAGGGGGAAGACTGAAGCATTTAGTGCAGACTGACATGAAAGTTGAAGTAAAAACATCAGCTGTGATCAGAAGTAATTGCAGGAGAAAGGGTAGGACTGCAGTTTGTAGAGACTTGGAACAGGTTATGGAACAGCCTACAGGAGCTTTGCAGAAGAGGGTTTGGGTGTTAGAGTGCTCACAAGCTGACTGAACCCGCAGTGTTCTGCTGCAGTGAACAGCACGTGCTCTCCTGGAATCGGACAATGGAGGTGGATCCTCCAGGGTTCCTCAGGAAACCCTTCACACAGCACATACAGAGACACAATGAAGTATGTAGTGAAAATGGGATGGGGAAGAAGAGGGTTGGAGTTCAGAGGGACATCTTAGAGACAGAGAAGTGCTGCAGAGAGGAAGGAACAATTGTCTTCTCTGAAGGAGGAGAAGCTGTGCTTTTAAACTGCAGTTTGTCCTGCTGGTGGCCTCCAGCAGCCAGAGGATTGACTGGCTCAGCCTGTGGTGTGACCTGTGTGGGTTGTGTCCCTCAGGTAACAGCGGGATGGGCGCCTACCACGGCAAGCACAGCTTTGAGACCTTCTCCCACCGCCGCGCCTGCTTGATCAAGGACCTGAAGATGGAGAGTATGCACAAACTCCGGTACCCACCTGGCAGCCAGAAGAAGTTGGATTGGGCCAAGTTCTTCATCCTGAAGCGGTCTAGGAAGGGCCGTGTGTGACTGGCCATCTTGGCCCTGCTGGGGATTGTGGCAGCTGTGGTGATAAAGGTGAGCTTTGGCTCTTTGCCTTCTACATGAGTGCACGTGCAATTCCTCTCATCTTCTGCAAGTTCCTTCTTTGCAACTGCAGTCCTTTCTTAGAGCCTGGGCTATTTTTTTCTGTCTTGAGACTTACAAGAGAAATTTTCAAGATGTGCTTCTCGCTCTTGCAAGTGCTATCTAGAATAGAAATGTCCTCAGAGGAGTTTCCTAAGCTGCTCTGTTATTTGTTGCTGTGCCTTGGTGGGTGACACCCATGAGAAGCTCCCTCCAGAGGCAGAGATCGGTACTTTTTGGACAGGTCTCTAGAGAGATTTTGATTCATGGGCTTCCTTCAGCAGCAGTTGTGAGCTGCTCCACAGCTTTGTCCAGCTGGCTGCAGTTTTGCACCTCAGGGCCCTGGGGAAGGGAATCTGTGTCCTAATGCCAAGGGCTAGAGCGAGCTCTTGTTCCTCGGCCAGTTGCAGTTGAACCTGTAGTTCAATTATTTCCATTTCCTCCCCTCATTCCGGCTGGGTAGTGTGGAAGGGTGGGATGTCCTCCCGTCTCTGCAGGAGGCAGAAGCCTGCTGGTGCTGGCTGAAGGGGGTGAAATATTTGTGGATTGTTATGAGCCAGAATCATCCACAGCTGGTCAGGAGGTGCAGGCTGACTCCATTTTTTGGGGACTCTGGGTTTCATCGTGTGCCTGTAAGAATTATTTGGCAGTTAGAAAATGACTAAGGTGATACCTGCACCGCCTGTGTTTTGCTGATAAGGGTATGTTGTGTTCATATCCTCCCCTCATTCCGGCTGGGTAGTGTGGAAGGGTGGGATGTCCTCCCGTCTCTGCAGGAGGCAGAAGCCTGCTGGTGCTGGCTGAAGGGGGTGAAATATTTGTGGATTGTTATGAGCCAGAATCATCCACAGCTGGTCAGGAGGTGCAGGCTGACTCCATTTTTTGGGGACTCTGGGTTTCATCGTGTGCCTGTAAGAATTATTTGGCAGTTAGAAAATGACTAAGGTGATACCTGCACCGCCTGTGTTTTGCTGATAAGGGTATGTTGTGTTCATACAAAAGAAGTTTCAGGCCTGTTTAGAGAAGAGGGAATCGCAGAGTACCCTGTGGTGGGTCTGCCCAGGTGGGTGCCCAAGCCCTGCGCAGCCACTCACTCACTCCCCGCAGTGGGAAGAGGAAGAAAATCAGGAGGGTGAAAGAAAAAACTTGTAGGTTGAGATAAAGTTGGATTGGTAAAGTGAAATTTGGGCATGCAAGGTAGCAAATTAAGGAATGAATTCACTACTTCCCCTCGGCAGGCAGATGTTCAGCCATCCCCAGGAAGGCAGGGCTCCATCACATGTAGCAGTGACTTGGGAAGACAGATGCCGTAACTCCCAATGTCTCCTCACCTTCCTCTTCTTTCCTCCCAGGTTTTATCCCTGAGGACAACGTCATATGGTCTGGAATATCCCTGTGGTTAGCTGGGGTCACCTCTCCCAGCCGTGTCCCCTCCCTGCTTCTTGCCCCCAGCCTACGCGCTGGCGGGGCAGTGACAAACAGAGACCTTGACGCCGTGCGAGCGCTGTTTGGCACAACTAAACCCCAGTGTGTCACCGACACTGTTCTGCTCACAAATCCAAAGCACTGCACCATCCTGCTATGAAGAAACTTAGCACCTGTGATTAAAATTAACTCCATTCCCAGCCAAAACCAGTACAAACCCGTTCCTGGTCCGACTCCTCCGAGAGAAAACAATTACTGAAAAGAGTGTGTACTCCTTTGCGTTTTTGCTTCTTGGGTCTGCTATAATCTTGCACTGGGAGATCATATGGGGCTTGTTCTAGCTTGGGAAGAGGATGCTGGAGAAATTTAATGTGAAAGGGCCTTAGAAATATTAATGTTTAAACAAGGTAAATTTGAATTTAATAATACTTTTTAATTACTCACTCTAGAGTAGAAAATTATATTTACTGTGCAATAGATGGGATTTCTTCATGTCTGGTGAAAATCCTTGTGCCTAAACCTTTTTAATGATATATTTTGCAAGTACTAAATAAACACTGAGAATTTCAATAATAAACTGAGCGTGGTAAGTCCCTGCAGTCTCCTGGGGAATCCTGCCCGTTCTCTCCCAGCCAAAACCAGTACAAACCCGTTCCTGGTCCGACTCCTCCGAGAGAAAACAATTACTGAAAAGAGTGTGTACTCCTTTGCGTTTTTGCTTCTTGGGTCTGCTATAATCTTGCACTGGGAGATCATATGGGGCTTGTTCTAGCTTGGGAAGAGGATGCTGGAGAAATTTAATGTGAAAGGACCTTAGAAATATTAATGTTTAAACAAGGTAAATTTGAATTTAATAATACTTTTTAATTACTCACTCTAGAGTAGAAAATTATATTTACTGTGCAATAGATGGGATTTCTTCATGTCTGGTGAAAATCCTTGTGCCTAAACCTTTTTAATGATATATTTTGCAAGTACTAAATAAACACTGAGAATTTCAATAATAAACTGAGCGTGGTAAGTCCCTGCAGTCTCCTGGGGAATCCTGCCCGTTCTCTGCTGTGTCAGGGGAAGGGCTTGTGCCAGCTTGCACTTGCTGCGGGAGACTGGTGGAGAGAGAAGCTGCTCTGAAGGTAACTTCCTTTTTTTTTCTTCTTTTTATTATTTAATGAGTCATCTGCTTTCTTGGTGAGGATCGGGGCTGCACCACACAGCTGTGGTGGCAGCAGGGAAGGGCAGATTTCAACAGTTGCAAGGGAACCTTGGTGCCTCCACTGGCTAAACAGGAACTGCAGGCAGATCCTGGCAGCCATCAAGGTGGATCTGCACAAGGTCTGGCTTGGGGGGTTTCTCCTGTGAGCCATGCATGGATGGCAGTCAACCCAGAAGTGGGAAGGCCAAGGACTGTTTTTGCCCTGCTGATGGCTTTTCCTAATGTCCTCCATGGTCCTGGATGACTTTGCCCTGCCTCCCCAGGCTGCCATGGTGGGTGTGGGAGGTGGAAGCCTTTGCCATGCCCTCCCCAAGCTCTCTGTCATTGCAGAGTGGGCCCAATGCCTATGGCCACAAGATCCTTGGCGTGCTGGGGGAGCTGGCCCTGACCATGGACAAGCTGCCATCCTGGGCAGCCCCGCGGCCTGTGAAGAAGAACCTACTGACGATGCGGGACGAGGCCTACATCTACCCCGAGCCACACAGCTCCTCCTTTCTGCAGATGAGAGAAGTAAGAGCTCAGTAACCTCTCTCCTAAGGTCTTTAAGTCATCTGGAGCCCGGTCTAACTAAGTCTTGGCACTGCTGCTTGGGACAAACACCTTTTCAATAGGCTTTTGTATGTGGCAGGCTCCCCCCTCCTCTTGAGCTGAAAGCAAACTAAATGCCAGTGGTGCTGTTGAGTCTTGTTGCAGTCTTTGTGCCAATCACTTTCATTGTCTCTTTGTGTCCCTTGCACATTTTCCATGGCCCCAGCTATGTCTACAATGCAGCCCACAGACCAGGGCTCTGTGCTATGCAGTATCTTGTTCTTGCAAATGTGAGATCGGCCACAGCTTTCAGAACAAGTGATGCCATAAATGAACTGAGCTGCATTTCTTCTTGTAGGTTTTTCAAAACCTCTCCCTGTTGTTAATCTTCTGTACCCGCTTTTCTGATTGAGTGCTGTTTGGGCTTCTGTATCTGCCCATCTGTATCTTGTGCCGCTGGCTGGATTGTGTGACTTTTCTAACACTTAGAGCTCAAGACTAAGCAGACCTGGCTAAAAACGTGTAGGTTCTGTGAGCGTGGTGTGTGAGCTAAAGAAACATTTATTAATCAGCTGTTCTATTTGGTGGACTCTTGAAACCAAACACTGCACAGCTTATCTTCTAAACCAAAGTCCTCCTTCCGCAGGCTCTGTGGGATGGATGCTTTTGTGAGCAGGGCAAAGAACAGCGGGGCAGGGGCCTGGCCCACTGGTGCCTCACTATGGACTGCAAGGGGCTGCGGGGAACGGGGGGCAGAGGGGAGTCTCAAGCTCAGCTTCTCGATAAAGCGTTTCTTGCTGCTCTAAGTCTGGCCCTGGAGATTAGAGCAGCTCTAGCACTGCTTGCCTCCCAGTTCCTCTGGAGTTCAGTTACTTTCCCCATAAATAGTTCCCTTCATTGTTTCTTAGTGACTGAATAAAAATAGAAAATCCTGTCAGCTCCTGGGCGTGGGGAGCGTGCCGCAGACCATGCGTTTCACCGGGCGCCGGTGGGGGTATTCTTCCATCTCACTCCAGATCCCACGTTTCCCTGAAATCCACGTGTCTCGCCCAGCCACTCCAGGGAGACTCAAGTGATATTTTGCGATGCTTGAAACGCCTTCAGCCTTGTCTCCTGTCCATAATTGGCTAAAAGATGTCCCTGACGAGGACCGAAAGGGACCGTTTCCCAGGATGCAGCACACTGCTGCTGTCTCATTTCTGCAAATACCCAGGAATCTTAAGACCAGGTTTCTGCGAAAGCCTGGCCCAGTACCAGCCAGCTGGCCACTGGGATGAACTGGGACGTTTGCCTCCCGCGTGTGACGCCAAGCACAAGCAGCACCCTTGGGCGAAAGGGTGAGAATTCTACAGGCTCTGGAGAATGGCAGCTCTGGAAAATGCAGGTGAGTAACATTTCCCTGCTTCTGCAGACATCCCTCGGTGGGCGCTGCCTGCGGAGGATGCACTGCAGCACCGTTCCCCCAGGCACAATGCAGTGCTCCACCCTGACAGCTCAAAGATTTTTACTCTTGATTGCCGTAGCATTAACTCCTTATCTGATTTCCTTGGACCTTCAGACAGTGGGGTGCCTGCATGGAGCTCCAGCCTGCCGGAGTGATGCGAACAGGATCAAGGACAGTGTGTTTGCATCAAGTGATGCTCCTGCCAGGAAAATCCCCACTTCTCCTTGAATGCAAACAGGGTTCTTTTCCCCATACAGCAGTGCAAGGGCTCTGTCAAGCCCAGCCTGTTTTTCTCTCACAGGTTGCCACCTGCCCACAAGTATTGGCAGCTCCTCTAGCCGTTCTTTTGCACGGCAGACTGTTCACTGCCGAGATTTGTGCAATAACTTGTGAAATGTTCACGTTGGCTCAGCCGCAGCCCGGGAGTTGTCACCAAAGCCAACAGAGTTCAGAAGAGCGCAACCTCCCAAAGCCATGCTGGTCTGGGGAAATGTCATAAAAGGGGGGGGGAAGTGTGCTCCTTATCTCCTGGGCACGAGCACTTGGCTGCCGGCCCTGTGTATGACAGAGGTGTGTGATGGGCAGGGCTTTAGATGGGCATCCTTTAGGCTGAGGAGCATTAGCAATACACGTACGGCTGTTGTAAGGTCACAAACAGGAGTGATTTTCAAATAATCCCCTTTGCATTTCTTAGAACAAGTTGGGGCAGGCCTATTTTTAACAGGAATGAGCCCAGCCTTGTCTCAGCTCCTTTCCCTGCTTTTTTTGGCTTCTTTCCCACACCAGGGCTCTATCAAGGTTAATTCCACTGTCCTGGCCCGGCTCTTCCCAGCGCTTGCGTTGCCTCCTACGAAACACCACCTGCGTTTTTGGCACTTGCTGCCCAGTTTTCCCAGTCTCTCGTCTCTCAGAGGCTGCCGGTCGGGCACCGCCGTCCCCTTTTTGCCGGCCAAAAGACGAGGCGTCCGGTGAGTTCGTGCCAGGGTTAAAACCGAGGGGCCGAGCTCCCGGTGGCATTTGCCCTCCTCCGATAAGGAGCCCCGAGCCGGGACTTTGTTCCCCCCTCCCTCCCCGAGCTGTCACCCGCCGCGGCTCTCTGCCACCGTTTCACAACCCGACCGGGCTCCGCCAGACCCAGGGCAGCTCCCGGGGGGAACCCACGGCGGGACCGGCAGCCCCTTCCAGCCGGCGGCGGGGGAGGAGGAGAAGGCGCCATTCCCGACGGCGGGAATCACGGTACCGGCCGCGCTCCCCCCCCCCCCTCGCCTTCTTCGCCCCGCTCTGCTCTTTCTCTCTTTCCTCTCCCTCCTCTTCCCGAGCCCCCCGGTCCCCG